CACACACACACACACACACACACACACACACACACACACACACACACGTAAAAGGCCAGAGGTGATGGCAGCTGTGAAAAGAGGAAGCGTGACAAACAGAGGCAGGTTTGGTGTAGCAGATGGATGTAGCTGGAGTACAGGGGTAGTGTGTGTGTGTGTGTGAGTGTGTGTGTGTGTGTGTGTGTGTGGAGGAGCTTTGAGGCAACATACAGAGGAGATTGCAGGTGTTTGTGAGGAGTGTGTGTATGAAGACGACAGTAAGACGTCGGGCTTGAGCCTCAGGCGTCGTGTGAGAAACTTACGAACATTAAATGAAACAGAAAGAAAGAAAGAAAGAATGAAAGAAAGAAAGAAAGAAAATGAGATTTTAAGACGTAGAAAAAACATGAGAGAAGAGAGAGCAGAAAGTATAAAATCAGTGGAGCATCCGAGACGGCCCGAATAAATATTAAATACTAATTCTGAGTGAGTTCAAACTGGATTAAGTAACAATAAAAGTGCAGAAGAACAAAGTGTGCAACTGTTCATGTACAATTCTCTCCTATAATGCAAATGAAGGAGCTGAACTGGAGGCGACGATGAGCCCGTCAGCAGCAGCTCTCTTTAGTGTCACTCCTGCTCCTCCGTACGATCACACATCACACACACACTTTGACAAATGTATTTGCTTTCCGCGAGAGCAGCAGCCACTTACTCCCACTCAAAGGAAACAAGGAGGAGCAGCTTCACCGCTTCACCGCTTCAACAACACAGGTGACAAGAAGACTGGCAGCAGAAAGAAGTGAGGGAACGTGAACGGATGAAAAGAGCGGGAGATTGAGATTGAGACGGAGGAGACACGTCGGCTGCTGTGGAGAAGACGAGCGCTTTAATCCTCTCGTCAGGAGTGTAGAGGGCTTTCATTTCTCTTCTACTTTCATGTTAAAATCACAGAAGAAGAATAAATAACCGGTTCACCTGCAGGGACATGTGCTCCCCGATACACTGCAGGGACAGACTGGAGCTGGATGAGACCTGAACGAGCTCCTAATGAAGCCCTGATGCAGCTCACTACACACACAACTAAACTGCACTTTGTATTTTGGTGGAATCTGAGCTTCTGACTTCAAAAAGTCGATATTAAAATCACAGATTGAGCTGCAGCAGAAGGAGCTCAGCTCTCTGTTTTAATAGTAAAACAGATAAAAGAACACGCAAATATATATATCTACGATCAGGAGCTTTGAGTAACACCCAAATAAAGAAGTCTTTCATATTATTCCTTTTTTAACCAGAAAGGGAATTGTTTCTTTAATCTGTATGCACAGAGAGAACTGCTAAAGGGTAAAAACATGAACCTGCCATGAGGGCCACCTGCTAACTATTTCATTTCATCCTAATACCTCACTTCTCATATCCAAGAAAGTCACCCAGAGCTGTACCTTCTGACTCCATTCATCCGATCACAACGAACTCTCTGGTTTCTGCCTCATTTAAAAAATAGATTCTTACGGTTTACTTTCCTACTGACGCGAATTCAAAAAGCGTCGTTGTTTGTCATGTTTTTACTTGTGTAGCGAATGGGCTACAAGATTTTGCATCCCCGTGTTGCATAATGACAATAAATTAGACCGCGACGCTCACGCAATTGACACTCGGCTAAGCCCCGCCCCCCCAAGCTGCGATTGGAGCCCACACTGTCACTAACTGCACTCCATGAAGAAATACTCTCTAGTTTATTTTAGAAAAACGAAAAAAGGGATTTCAGAGATGAAGCAGACAGAAGAGTCGACAACATGTGTTTGAAGGAAATATCCACAACAGGATAAAAACATAAAGATAGAAGCTGAAGCTACAGATCTTCAGTAGCTAGCGTAGCATAGAAGAGCTAACGCTAGTTAATGATGTGCTAATGTTAGCTCTGCAGGTTTTTAACCTAGAAACGTAATGCTTTAAAAGCGTGTATATCTATTTAATATTTTGTTATTTAAAAAAAAAACGTTAAAGTATTAAAATACAACCTTTTTTTCAAAAAACTGCTCGTCACAATAGCTTAAGATCTGTATTGAACCTGTTCTAAACTAATTTCTACCTAAATTATAGGTGTAGTTGTAGTATTATTAGACTACATTCCCCATAACCCCCCCTGTATTTTCTCTCTCTCTCTCTCTCTCTGTCTGTCTCTCTCTCTCTCTCCCTCTTTCTATGTCTCTCTCTCCCTCTCCCTCTCCCTCTCTCTCTCTCTCTCTGATGATTCATGAGGTGAACCTTTCCTCTAAACTCCCTGTTTCACGTCTGTCCTCCAGTTAACGACTCCGGCTTCTCTCCGTTCAACAAGCTCTTATAACTGAACTCGTTCAGTCTCACCGGATCCTTCCTGCTCGTGCAAAAGCAGCACAACATGAACATGGGATGCATTTAGTGATGAAGAAGTCTGTTGTTTACCTGCGCTGCCTCCCAGCCCCACTGCCGATATTTGGGATCGTGGGTGAACCTCCACATGTACCAGTAGGTCTCGATGACCTCCGGCCGCAGGATGTAGTACTTCTCATTCTGCCGCACGGCCACCGCCTCCAGGCCGCTGTCGAACTTAAAGGCCTCCGGGCCCAGCTTCAACACTGGAGGGGAGGAGGGGAGAGGAGACGAGGGGAGGAGGAGAAGAGATGGAGGGGAGAGGAGATGAGGGGAAGAGATGGAGGGGAGGAGGGAAGGGAGAGGAGATGAGGAGGAGAAGAGATGGAGGGGAGAGGAGATGAGGGGAGGAGGAGAAGAGATGGAGG